GTAGGTGTGCAGAGACAGGTGTGCAGTGTGGGTGTGCAGTGTAGGTGTGCAGTGTAGGTGTGCAGGGGCAGGTGTACAGTGTAGTTGTGCAGGGGCAGGTGTGCAGTGTAGTTGTGCAGTGTGGGTGTGCAGTGTAGGTGTGCAGTGTGGGTGTACAATGTAGGTGTGCAGTATAGGTGTGTAGTGTAGGTGTGCAGGGGTAGGTGTGCAGTGGCAGGTGTGCAGTGTGCAAATGCTTGTTCCTCAATGGGAGAGGGTGATTTGGCCAAGATCAAACCTTGGGGAAGGAAAATGGACTGAGTGAGCCAGTCCCGAGGGAGAGTTCAGGTCCTGAGATTGCTGGGCTGTGGGGGAAGGGAAAGTGTGACCTCAAGAGATGAGAGAGACAGGAGAGAGAGAGAGAGAGAGAGAGAGAGAGAGAGAGAGAGAGAGAGAGAGAGGATGAGGATGCCTGATGCCTGCAGGCTCTTGCCTCTATGACCTCTCTGTGACCCCCACCTGCACAGCCTGGGCCTCTCCACAGAATAGGAGGAGGGGCTGAGATCTCCCAGTGTCACCAGGGGACTGGTACACGCTGCTAGACAGTCATTCTGTCCAACATTCCCATCCCCCAACTTCTGCCTGGGTCTTGCCTCAGGCCAGGCAGAGGTCAGGGAAAGGGCTGCCCTCCTCCCGCTGGCTGGGTAGCAAGAGCCTGAGACAGCTCCTACTGTGTTGCTTTGAGACATTCACTCCACCTCTCTGACCTTAATCCTGTACTATGTGAAACAGCTCTAGTGCCCCACTGGACTTCCTACAGAGTTGTAGCTTAGAGCGAGCTTCATCCAGCCTTGATGCGGTGGCTGCCCTGTGGCTTATTGGTGGCGTGCTTGTCCAGCATGCACAAAGCCCTGAACCTTTCCAGCATCTCACAAACCCAGAATGATCACAGCACCTGCAATTCCAGCAACAGGGAATTGGAGGCAGGAGAGTTGATGTTCAAGGTAATCCTTGGCTACATAGAGAGTTCAAGGCCAGCCTGGACTGCAGTATGGACTGTCTCAAAAAAGGAAGAGTGTGGTGGTGCAGGCCTTTAATCTCAGCACTTCAGAAGCAGAAGCAGGAGGATCTCTACGAAATTGAGATAAGCTTGGTTTACACAGTGGGTTCCAGGCCAGTCAGAGCTACTTCGGGAGACCCTGTCTCAAACAAGACTCCGAGCAGAGGTGATGGGTGAGCTTTGTTTCTGCTTCATTTTCCCTCCTTCCCACATTCAGGATCCTGCAGAATGTTCAGAACATCCCTGATAGGCCAGGATGGACCACTGTCTGCCCTCGGTCTCTCGACACTAGATCGTCAATGTAGGTTTGCTGCATCCAGGGGCTCCGATTCTCCGTTCTAGGTTTCAGTTTCCTTAGTGGGCATTTCTGTCATTGTGTTCCTCAGCTCAGAACTGGAGGCTGGCCTCTGCAGTCTCTGCACATGCTCTCAGACAGTCCCCTCTCTTGAATATTGAACCCTCCTAAGGCCTGAGGTCTGACCTCCTCCCTCTGCCTGTGCCTTCTCTTTTGTTCGTCCAGTTCACGATCACTGGAGCAGGACTTTAGCTACAACCCTGTGCTGGACAGAGACCAGTGGCCGGATTCTCTTTGCTTTTCTGTGGTGCTAAGAAGTCAGCCCAGGACCTTTGCACACATGGGCACATGCCGTACCTCCCAGCAGAAGACTAGCCCTAGACAGTCCTTAGTGTGGCCTCAAGGCTTCACACAGCACAGTTGGGAGCCTTCTCTGTCTCTTCCTGAAGTGAACACACATACACCCTGTCTGCCCCAAGCCCTGTCTGCTCAAAGGTCACTCTTCTCTGGCTTCTCTCCAGGGGTTCACATAGCCTTACTGCCTGCCTTAGCCTGGCATCTCATACAGCCAGAACATCAAAATCAGCCAGCCATACCTGCTGTACCCCACCTCACCCCAATGAGGCCTCCAGATCTGGTCTGCCTTGTTCTTGGCTGCACCGGGTCCTGTGGTCAGCATCCTTTCTCTCCAGGGCAGAGGTCTTTGAGGTTACCCTAGTTTACTTTCGATTGCTGTAATAAGCACCATGACCAAAAGCAACCTGAGGAGGAATGGGTCTATTACAAGTCACATTCCATCACTGAGGGAAGCCAGGGCAGGAACCCAAGGAACCAAAGCAGAGGCCATGGAGGAGTGCTGCTCACTGCCTGCTCCTCATGGTTTGCTCAACCTGTTTCTTACAGCGCAGGGGTCACATCACCCACAGTTTGCTGGGCCTGTGACACCAATCACTAAGAATGCCCCAGAAGCCAATCTTGATGTTCTGTCTTCTCAATGGCTCTAGCCTATGCCAAATGGACCTACATAAGGTCCCTACAGTGCTCTCCTTGGGTCAGGGGTCACACTAGATGGAATGAAGCATGGGGTGAAGGAATGTTGAGGAATCAGGCTGACAACCCTCCCATCACTACCTGCCCCCAGGGAAGGGCCTGTGTTGGCTATATCACTTGAGACTCACATCTCTTCTCTGAATTCTGTTTCTTCTGGGGAAAAGCCTGTCCTGAAAGGCTTTTTCCCAGGGGGAAATACAGTCTACATAAACTACTGTAAGTCCTTAGGCAGAGAGCTCTTACCTTTCTGTGCCCTGGAGATCCTCATGTGTAAAACAGATGTCATGCTAGTCCTGATGCAGGGACAGCAAGAAGACACTCCCATGGCACATGGCGTCAGGTCAGGCTTGGCATAAGCAAGTAGCTACCACCTTCACCCTGCTGTGGTGTTGGGGGAAGATGGAGGGCATGGTCTCCCCACGGGCATGCTGCATCTGGCTTGCGTAGGCCTTAAGAGAATCTGTAGAAAGTACTTAGAGGGCCTGCCTGGAGGGGGTGAGGAGGCAGGGGTGGAGTCTGTGCACATGAATATGTGTGGAACCAACAGGAGAGCCATTAAAAGGAGGAGGGATGGGAGAGAAGAAGGTTGGGAGAGAGGAGGAATAGAAGGGAGGAGGGATGGAAGGGAGGAGTGATGGGAGATGGGAAGGAGGAGGGACGGGAGGGAGGAGGGATGGGAGATGGGAGGGAGGAGGGATGGGAGATGGGAGGGAGGAGGGATGGGAGGGAGGAGTGATGGGAGATGAGAGGGAGGAGTGATGGGAGGGAGGAAGGATGGGAGGGAGGAGGGATGGCAACAAGCTGTAACACAGTGTCTCAGCTGGCAGTGCAGAGAGGCCTCCAACAAGGCTGAATGAGAGAGCAGAGAGGTGACAGCCTTCCCCACACTGTCACCACACAGTGGCCTTTCCTCTGTGGGTGTCAGTGTCCTGTGGTCCTCCCTTCAGAAAAACCCCAGTTCTGCCGGGGTCCTCTGTATGGCCACATTTGAAAAGGGCATCTCTTAAGGACCCCACAGTTCAGTTTGTGCTACTGTAACAAGCCCCTAGCAGGGTGGTTTAGATACCACAGATGCAGACCTTCACTGCCCTCAGGGCTAGACAGAAGTAGAGGCAAAGATTTAGGTGCTAGCAGCCTTTGTGTATGGTGAAGATCTGCTTTTCTGGGTTCATTTTCTTTCGGATACCTGATATTATGAGAGGAGCAAGCAGGCTGCTCATGTCCTCATAAGGGCCTCATGTCTTTCATAAGGGCCATTGCTGGGGCCAGAGCATCCCATCTCCAAAGCTCATGACTTTTTGTTGTTTAATTTTATGCTTAAGAGGGTTTTGCCTCAGGGCTGGAGAGATGGCTCAGCCGTTAAAGGCTAGGCTCACAACCAAAAATATAAGAGTTCGGTTCCCAGCACCCACGGCTGTCTCTCCAGCCACCAAAAAAAAAAAAAAAAAAAAGAGGGTTTTGCCTCACGTATGTGTGAGAATCATGTGCCTGCAGTATCACTGGTGGCCAATAGAGGGCGTTGGATCCCCTAGAACTGGACTTATAGATGTTTGTGAGCCTCAGTGTTGGTGTTAGGTTTGAACCTGGGTCTTCTACAAGAACCTCCAGTGCTCTTAACTGCTGAGCCATGTCTCTGAGACTCCACTCCCCCCTTTTAAAACTTGGTGAGGGGGATACCTGTACATGAGTACAGAAGCCATTGGATCTTCTGCAGTGGAGTGATCCAGAATCCCTGGTGGTTGTGAGCCAGGGATCTAGGTACTGGGAACCAAACTCTGGTCTCCTGGAAGAGTAGCAAGTGATCTTAACCCTGGAATCATCTCTCCAGCCCAGCCACTGCTTCTCAGTACCATCCCCATTAGAGATTTCAGTTTAACAGGGAAGCAGTGCGGGGTAACATTCAGATATATACCTGATCTCCAAATACAGACAGTCTTTTGTGTGCTTGGATGTTTGTTTTAAGACAGGTTGACCTCAAACTTACTAAGTAGCTGAGGATGACCTTGAACTGCTGGTCTCTGGCTCTACCTCCCTTTCTAGGATTACAGGCAAGCCCAGCTGAAGCTACATTCTGAGTACTAGGGGTTAAAATTTTAACCTGTCTATTTGAGGTCCTCATCACCCACCCCGCCCCCAAGACAAGCCTTGGTCTAGGTTTTCCTGGAGGGGGCTTTAAAGAAAGGCAGGTGTACCCAGCTTTTTCGGCTAGGATGAAGGGGGGCAGTGGTAGATAGTAATAGGCCGCAGGGGAAAGAATCAACACGGGCCAGACTGGTGAGCTCTGTGTGGCTGAAGCCAGGAGTGCAGCCCTTGGGGCCCCCAGAGTTAGCTGTTCAAAAGCCTCTGCAATGGTTTATATTGATTCTAGATGCAGTATTGATAGGGTCTAGAGTCACCAAGGAGACACGCTTCTGGACATACCTGTGAGGGATCATCTGGATTAGGTTAGCCGAGATCCATGCTAACTGCTGACTGAAAGAAAAGGAGAAAAGCTTTAGTGCAACACCGGCTGCTCGCTGCTCCCTGACATGAACACAATGTAACCAGCGGCCTCAAGATTCCTCTCTCAGGATTTCCCTCTTTTCTTAAATGGTCTTTCTCCTGTATTTTGTCCCAGCAATGTATCAAAAAGTACTGCCTCTCAGTACCTTGGCTCTGCCTCCTTCTCTGCCCATCTCTGTGTGACTGTCTAGGTGTCTGTTGGGAGGCAGGGGTGAGCTTCAAGTGAGCTGCAGGCATAGGTCTGCCATTAGCCTACAGAGGCTCCTTCTACAGTTAGCCTGGGTTATGTCGCCAAGCCAAGAGACACCAAAGGGTCTAGGTTGCCGATCCGTCTCCAGCAGTCCCAGCCCCCTTTGAAGTGCTGTGCAGAACTTGTCTACAAAAGTATTTCCAAGATGAGTCAGAATTTCCATGGGTGAGTCTCACACAGAAATCATAACTCCTCTTCTTGTCTGTTGGTTCTAGCTGGAAGACCCCACTGTAACCAGATGCAGCTGTGACTTTGAAGTCTATGAGTCCTGTGCTGTGCCAGGAGGGGTCACTTCCCTTCTCCTGTCCCCCTTTTTCTTTCCATCCTGTTCTAGGTAATCAAGACTTCCACCTGGCAGAGTGGAGCTATGGGGAGAGAAACACATATCCACCTAGGAGGTGTGGTGGGTTCACAACATGGTGGGCTCTGGGCTCAGGATGCTGCACAGAGTTGTCTGTTCCAGTTTTGTTTTCAAAGACAGAGTTTCTCTGTGTAGTCATGGCTGTCCTGGAACTTGCTCTGTAGACCAGGCTGGCCTCGAATTCAGATCCACCTGCCCCCAGCACCTGAGTGCTGGAACTAAAGGCATGCACCACCACTGCCTGGCTTCTTGTTCCTGTTCCTGTTCTTATTAAGCTAGTACTCCAGGGAAGAACATTGGGTATCATGACCATGTTGCTACTGTAAGCCTCCCTAGCCATCAAATATATCCCTTGATCCTATCATGGTGCCCTTCTTTCCAACAGCCACCATGCCATTTTACACTTAGGACCACCCAAGGACACAGCATAGGACACCAGAGGTGGTTGGTGCTCCCGAGGCTGTCCCATCTGTCCACCTCTGACTGTAGAGCTCCTGTCTCTTTAAAGTGATGCTGGCCTGCTGTACTGGCTCAGGGCATGTCCAAGAGGCCGAAGTCACCAGATGGTCATGCAAGGCAGCTGCTGTTTTGACCCAAAGAGGCCTTTTGGAGTTGGCTAGCAGCCAGAGCTACTACTGGGGGGAAGGGACAAAAAGGCTATGAGACCCTGACCTACTGGTTCTATCTCGGATGCCATGGTAAGGGGCAAGCTGGGGTCAAGCCAACCCAAGCTTATTCCTCCTCCTAGCTGTGTGTCCCTGAGCTACTCTTGGTTTGGGTTCCCTCTTTCCCCTCTGGCAGACAGAGGGGCAGTACACCATTCTGGGCATAGGGTCTCACCTAGACTCGACATGCTGTTAACTGAGGGCGGTCTTCTCCCAGGCAGAGCAAGGCCTCCACTTGTTGTCCTTGACCAACCGAGACAGAGTTCACCAGGCCAGCCTAGGTCACATGACAAACACAAGTTCAGTGCTGATCCCCAATCTAGTGTTCCCGATCCTACTCCAAAGGACAGCAAAGGCGGGTCTATGGGAACAGGGACGGGGCATGCAGGGAAGGTGGCAGCCTTGTGTTGGCCCCATACATGGTGCCTCTCCATAGCTAATACTTACCCAATCCTTCCTGGATAACCTAGTAAACATGTAGGGGGTGGATGGCCAGATGGATGACTGGACGGATGTATGGGCAAATGGACCGGCAGGAAGGTGACACTTAGCTCTGTATTGTCATGAATCCATAGCACTGGCCAGCATGCTGGCTGCCAGCAATCTCCTTCTTCCTGTTGGCTGAGTCATTTCACCTGGCTTGTCCCCAAAGCTTGAAATACAGAAAAAAGGAAGACGCAGAGCCCACCCACCCCCAGGTCCTCACCACTAGCTCTGTTCTAAGATAAGGAAACTGAGGCAGGGGAGAGTCACCACTTCCCCAGCAGCTGTAGGCCTCTCTGTCCCTGCCTGGTTCCCTCACTACCTCAGGGGGAGTCTTAAGCTTCTTTTGCTGGTTTTCTGGAAACTGGGAGTAGAGTGGGGGTGGGGCCAGTCCATACATCTGATTCCCGGAGGCCCTGTCAGTCATCCTGAATCCTCCACGTGGCTCCCGGGAAGCCCTGTGGCCTCTGCCCAGTGAACCACCCCCACTCTTCCCACAGAGACTCTTCCTCTTTCATCCTTTCCTCTCAGCCTCTCTTGTCCTCTTCCAGGGTTGGGTAGCAGGACACAGGAACCCAACTCTGTCTCCTGTGACCTTGGAGTCGTCCTGACCTCTCTCTGTAGCCCAGCCCCCATACTCACTCCAGGAGTCCTTGGCCACAAACAGGAGCTATTTCTCTCTCTCTCTCTCTCTCTCTCTCTCTCTCTCTCTCTCTCTCTCTCTCTCTCTCTCTCTCTCTCTGTGTGTGTGTGTGTGTGTGTGTGTGTCTGTAGGTACCCTCACCCACCCTCACCCACCCTCATCCTCCCCTGGCCCCTTGCCTTTCTCTCTCCATCCAGTCCCTTGTACTAGTGTACTCTCCCCTATAGGGAGCCTCCCACCCACAGCCAGCTTCTCCCTCCTCCACCCTCCCTCCTCAGAGAATGCCAAGTCTGCAGCTTTCGAGCGACCTTGAACAGGCAGCAGCTTGGAGCTTGGCTGGGAGAGCCCGGGGAGGGGCCTCGGAGCTGAGCCTTGCAGGTTGGTTCTGGCTAGGTGTCGGGACTGCACTGCTATGTCCCCCTCTACCCTGTTTACCTCGCTTTATTTCCACCCGCTGGCCCTTGTCACCTCCCTTATGGTTTCCTTCTTGCTCGCTATCTTTATGGGCACATCCCACCGTTAGAAGCCAGTTGCAGGGAGGCGGAGATTCTTAGCTTCTGCTTTTAGAAAACCTGGACCAGGCCTGGCACATTGTAGTTGCTCAAAGGCAGGCTAGAAACCGGAAAACACTCTTTGCCCTGGACAACACAATTCGCAGAGTTGTCCCTCTATGTGTCTAACAGCGTGCTAGGACCCCACGAAAAGGGGGGAAACCGAGGCACGCAGTAGCAGGCTTGTGGAGTCTAGACCTGAACCCACGGCATTCTGGGTCCTTCTTCCTGTCACTACCTCTCTCCTGCCTGGGGTGGCAGGTGCATGTTCGGTGCCCTCTGGGGAAGCAGAGGGTCATCCGAACGCCCCCGCCCAGGCCTCAGGGCCATCCTCACACGGTCACCGCTAGCTCAGCCCGCGCCCACCGGGAGCCGGGGAGGGAGAGAAAAATGAGTTTTCCCGGCGCCCGGTGGCGGTGTCAATTGATCGCGCGCGGGCGGGGGCGCGCGGCGGGCTGGGGGCCTGGCTCGCAGCTGCCGGCGCGCAATTATCGGGAAAAAACCCGGGCGGCTGCGGCGCTGAAATTAGTTATCGATCCCTCGGCGGGGCCGCGCTCGTCGCTGACGGATGCAGACCCCGGCCAGGCCCGGGGGGCGGGGCCTCCCCGGCACTCCTCGGCATCCCCTACTCCAGCTCACTCCGGGGTCCATTGGCGCTCAGTTGACCGCCCTGTCCTCCCCAGCAGGCCTGTCACTGCCGAGGGCTGGGCAGCTGGGCGCCTGGGAAAGTTCAAACATCCTCTGAGCTGCAGGCTGCTGTCTGTAAACTGGGTCTGGGGTCGTTCCTGATTCTTGATCCTGGGAGAAGACTGTCCTGCTGAGGCATCCCTGCCTGGTGGCTGTGGGGACGTTTATACAATTTATTTTATCGTTTGCATTTATTTATGTAGTGTATGGAGGTGTCACAGGTGTGTCCTAGTGAGCATGTGGAGGTCAGAGGACAACTAGTGGGAGTGGGTTCTCTCCTTCCACAGTGCCGGTCCTGGGGCTAGAACTCATGTTGTCGGACTATGTGTGGCAAGCTCCTCTATCTGATGAGCTGTCTGACCTCTCTTGGACGTTTAAACATTTTATACAAAGCAACGATTCTTGCTAGAGATTCCCGGATATGTGACATCCTGCCTTCAAGATGAGGAAACCAAGTCAGCAAAGACAGACAGATGGATATACAAGTGGACAGCTGGCCTCAACACTCCAGAACCTGTCTGGGACAGAGGCTGGGAGTGAGTTGGAGTGGCCTGGCTTCTCAGGACAGAGCCTGGGAGAGTCAGTCTGGGCTCCTTAGCCATGCTGAGCAGCACCTCCAGCTTCAGAGAAGGGAAAGCAAGGGAAAAAGGATCTTGCTCCCACCAAGCTAGGAGAGGAGGGAGGCACCAGCCTGAAGGGAGGGATCTGAGTTCTAATCTTGACTCAGAGTCACCATGTTCACCACCATGTGAACAGAGGCAAGTGTGCCCATCCTCAGTCCTTCTGCCCTGTTTTGTAGAGGAGATTGGGCATGTCTCCTGCAGCTGTCTGGTGCACTCTGCTCATCTCTCAGCAATGGGTGCATGCGGGTAGGGTGGGGGTTGGTGGAATTAAAAAAAATAATAAAAACAAGTCTTTCTATGTAGCCCAGGCTAACTTGACTCTCGAGCCTCCTGTCTCTGCTTCCTGAATTTGAGGACGCAGGTCTGCAGCAGCCTGCCAGCACGGCACAGTTCATGAGACAGCTACTATGCACAAACAGGAACTGTTTGTCCTGGATATCATGGGTACCCTGAGAACAGGACAGCCCCTGCTCTCCCTCGGGGCCAGATGAGGGTTAACTCTGCTTTGCCATGGTGAGTTCAGGGTATGAAGGATAGCACCAGATTGGGGTGCGAGGCTAGTTGCCAGGAAACACTAAGGCCAACTTGAATAGGAACATGGAACTGTGTAGCTTAGAATCGTTGGTGGGGGGAAGCCAGGGGATGGACGGATGCTGGCCAGAAGCAGATAGGAAGGACCATGTGCTTGGGCTCTGTCATGGCTGGGGTAACTCAGGGAGTATGGAAGGAGTTTGGACAGCAAGAAGGGCAACAAGGTTCAGCCCACCTCCTCTTTGGGTGTCTTTGGGTGTTTAGCTCATGGACTTGGCCTGCAGCAAGCCTATGTTGGGGGGCAGGTGGCCCCATGTGATCTCCCTGAGCCTCAGTTTCTTATTCTGAGCTTGGCCCTGGGTTTGAGTCTTCCTCGACAAGTCCTAGGACCTGAGTGTAACTATATCAAATGGTTAGGTCTGGGGACACCGCTCAGCTGGTAGACTGCTCCTCTGGTGTGGGACATTCTCTGGTCCCATCTCCAGTGCACTTGGGAGGTGGAGAGGCAGGAGCATGTAGGATTTAAGGTCATCCTCATCCATATAGCCAGTGTCCAGCCAGACAAGGCCATAAGCAATCCTTCTCCAAAACAAAACCAACAAACCAAGTGCTGGCTACTGACCCACCATGAGGTTTGGTTGTGTTTGCCCAATGCTCTGAGTCCTGACTCAAGAAGGTGTGACTTCCTTTTTCTACTCTTCTGTATCTTTCTTTTAGACGCTGGCCAGACCCTTGGTCTACCATTTCCCTGGTCCTTTATCTTTTCCACTCTTTCTTTAAAGCTCTCCTCCCCACCGTGTGGGTCCACCACGCAGCTGACCTCCATGCAGGCTCAACAGGCAGATAGATACTTCTCTCTCCATTGACCTTGTCTTGGCAGCTGCTGAGATTGGCAGGCTTTTTTCTTTCTTTGATTTTTCGAAACAGGGAATTCACTGTGTAGATGAGGCTGCCCTGGAGCTCACAGAGATCCACCTGCCTCTGCCTCCTGGGTACTGGGATCAAAAGTGTGCGCCACTAAACCTGGCTGGGATGTTTATTTTGTTGTGATAAATATTATTTTGAGGGTTTTGCCCACCTTAGACCATATAGTTTGCAAATAAAAGACACAAAAACCTTTAGATTTCTAATAAACCCTAAAGCGCTAGAGCTGGGCAGATACCAACTCTGTGCTATTTTGTCTCCTTTCCTATCAATAACCCTGAGATATCACTTGCCGTGTTCAGCCTGGGCCACTCCTACTCCAACAGGCTAGCCCTCTTTCCTTGCTCTGGTGCTACCTGCCTGAGATCCCAAGTCTGGGACCTACCCCTTTTCTGCCCAGCATCAGACCAACCCACTACACAGAATAGACAAACAAAATCTGGAGGGATGATTTAGCAGCGGAGGGCAACATATAACCTGCATTCTGTTCCCAGCATCCATACCAAGTGCATCATGGCCACCGGTAACTCCTGTTCCTGGGGACCTGCTGTTCCACTTCTGACCTCCATGGGCACCTGCACATATCCACACATAGACACAACTGCTGCAGATAAAACAATTAATTCTCTAAATCTCTAATAACAAAACCAAAACCCCACCAAGTCAATCAAAAGGACAAATGGGCTGGGTCTAAGGGGCGGGTCAGCCCTCCCCTCTCAATTTTCCTGGCCTTTCCCACAATGGGGGCAGAGGATGGGACAGAGCCAGTTGGTCCTCAGCATCTGAACTCCTTTGGGACAGGAGAGGTGTCAGGCACTCTGCTAGCTACAGCAACCCTGGCCTACTGCCAAAGGGAAACAAAGCTAGAAGGATGGGGGTGAACGGAATGTGGGGTGAAGGGCATTGCTGTTCTGTCTCTCCTCTGAGACCTGGAAACCTGGAGGGTGTGAAGAAGTAGGGCGTGGGTGTCTGTCCTGGCTGGCTGGTGGGGGAGACTGAAAGATGGAGAACTGCTTCGTGATTTGTGGAAACTGGTGTTCCCTGGCTCAGGACAGGTGGCGGTTTAGTTCCCAGTTGGGGGACTGTAGAATCCCACAGATGACTGCCTGGGGCAACCTTCTGTGTGATTCGAGAGTTCTCAATATTCCACATACTGAATGTCTGTGCTGAGAAGCAGGGTGTATCTCTGTGACTTGGGGGCCAGGGCCTGTGTTCACGGGGAGCATTCCAAGGAGTGGGAACACGCACACCCCAGTATGTATCGGTAGACATGTGT